AAATTTGGTGAAATCAGTCGGATGGAACTTGTGTGCGATAATCAAGCTGCCCTTCATATTGCATCAAATCCGGTGTTCCATGAGAGAACTAAACACATTGAGATTGATTGTCACTTCGTCAGAGAAAAGATACTTTCAGGAGAGATTGCTACAAAGTTTGTGAGGTCGAATGATCAACTTGCAAATATTTTCACCAAGTCTCTCACTGGTCCTCGTATTGGTTATATATGTAACAAGTTCGGTACATATGATTTGTATGCATCTACTTGAGGGGGAGTGTTAGTTTATAGTATGTATATAGTGTAGTATTGTCCCACATTGGTAGAAGAGTAGTATGTCCTTGTATAGTATAGCTATAAATAAGGATTTCTTGTATTGTATTGTTCATCCAATATCAATAACATATTTTCTCCCGTGCCTTCTCACAGAGACAAGTCCGCAGTAGGTGCAGAATATGATGCGGGGCGTGAATCACCTAGGCCTTATGTTGGATGTGGACGACGATGATAAGTCAAGAGTGGTGGAGCTGCAGAAGGTTGAACGGGATTATGTGGAGGAACTGGAGCTATAGGTGGTGGAGCTACAACTTGAGCTGTAGGTGGTGGAACTGGAGCTATAGGTGGTGGAGCTACAACTGGAGCTGTAGATGGTGGAGTTGGAGTGACTGAATCTCCAAAAGATGCAACTAGTAGTGCCTCAGAAATATCTAAGTGATGACCTGAACCTCTGAAGTATGATTGGGTTTCAAAGAAGGTAACATCAACGGACATAAGAAACCGCTGGAGGTCAGGAGAGTAGCATCGATACCCCTTTTGTGTTCTCGAGAAACCCAAAAATACGCACTTAAGAGCACGAGGAGCTAACTTATCTGTTCCTGGAATAAGGTTATGAACAAAACAAGTGCTTCCAAAGATACGGGGTGGAAGAGAGAACAAAGGTAAGTGAGAAAACATGACAGAGAATGGAACTTGGTTCTGGATAGTTGAAGATGGTATACGATTAATAAGATAGCAAGATGTAAGAACTGCATCCCCCAAAAACGCAACGGAACATGAGATTGTATGAGTAGGGTACGAGCAGTTTCAATAAGATGTCTATTCTTTCTTTCAGCTACCCCATTTTGTTGAGATGCGTATGGACAATATGTTTGATGAATAGTCCCGTGAGATTTCATAAACTGCTGAAATGGGAAAGACAAATACTCTCGGGCATTATCACTACGAAATGTGCGAATAGAAACCCTAAATTGATTTTGAATTTCAGCGTGGAAGGTTTGGAAAATAGAAAATAACTCATATCGATTTTTTATCAAAAATATCCAAGTGCACCTTAAATAATCATCAATGAAACTAACAAAGTAGCGGAATCCCAAGGTGGAACTGACCCGACTAGGACCCCAAACATCTGAATGGATTAAAGTAAAAGGTGAATCTGCTCGATTATCAAGACGCCGAGGGAAATGGGAGCGAGTATGCTTACCGAGCTGACATGACACACTCTAGAGCTGACAAGTGAGATAAACCAGATACCATTTTCTGAAGTTTTGACAAACTGGGATGTCCAAACCGTTTATGTAATAAATCTGGTGAATTAGTAACACGACAAGTTGTATAAGGAAGACAAGATATGAGTCCATATGATTTAGCAAGGATAAGGTAATAAAGTCCGTTCGATTCACGCCCGGTACCAATGATCCGCCCCGTACTGCGTTCCTGTATAAAAACATGGTCATCAAGAAATAAAACAGCGCATTTAAGTGATTTGGCTAAGCGACTAACAGCTATAAGATTAAAAGGACTATTGGGAACATAAAGGACTGAATCTAAAGGTAAGGAAGGAAGTGGGCTTGCTTGACCTATTGCAGTTACCATGGTTTGAGACCCATTGGCCATTGTGACTTTTGGAATAGATTGAGAATACGAAATAGTAGTGAAAAAAGATTTGTTACCAGAAATATGATCTGATGCATCTGATTCAATGACCCAAGACTCAGAGGATGAAGATTGGGAGAAACAAGTCACGCTATTACCTGTTTGAATAACAGAAGCTATCTCAGACGATGTCTACTTACATGCTTTGTACTGAAGGAACTTAATATAATCTGCTAAAGAAACCATCCGACTATTCAAAGCATCGGTTCCCATGTCGCTACAATTTGTAGTAGTAGGGTTAACTTGAAATAGTGAAAATAAGTAACTCCTGTGAGAAAACTGAAGAAATAGCTTGAAAAACTTTGTTTATAGGCGGAATGAAACAAAACCAGTGAGGGTAGGATCGGAATTACCAGGCGATTCTACTGTTCAACTGAAACCTTTTCAAAATTTGGCCGGAACACGTGGGTCAGATCTCGCCGAAAAAAAAAATTCTTTTCCAGGCGCGTGAGGGCGCGTGGATGTGTGTTTTCCGGTGGGGTTGACTGGGGTTTGGTCGCCGGAGCCTGAGAAGTCTTGTGGTGGTGTTGGTTTTTGCACAACGCCAACAGAAAGTGATTTGCTTACGGACAACCTTCTAAGTCGCTGGAAAATTGCACGGCGAAGAGGTCTTTCTTCCCGGAAGTCGCTGGAATGATACACAACAAGGAGATATTATTCCTCTTCCAATGTGGGACAAGACTACACTATACATATCTGTAAACTAATCATGATTTTCAATTCTTTATCCTTTTGCTGATACTTTCATCTAGAATAAGTCTTTAGAATTGGGACTCTATCAAATGCTTTTCGGTTTTCCTTCTGTTTCTCTAGCAGAATTTCTGCTGTCATATATTTGAAGAGCAAAGAAAGAGAACTAGTTGATGCAATGTGGAGAGAACACAAGAACTCCAAAAACCTGGGGAATTTAAGTGATTTTACTCGTCACAAAGATAGAAAACCTTGAAGAACAACTTAGATATGAAAGAAGAGGGAAACCTGGAAATTTGGTGAATCAAGTTTGAAAAGGACTAAGAGTACTGGTGAAAACAAGCACAAAATGACTAAGATCAATGATGAAAACAAGCACAAGAGAGGAGACTAGAGTGCTGCCTGAATATTCTTTTTTGCTTTGCATCACTTCCTTTGGATCTTGGTCTTTGGACTCTGGCGGTTTAATTGGACTTGTTCTTGTTTTGACTTTTGGTATTGTTTGGTAATTGTGCATGTTCTTTGCTCACTTAAAGGAGCTTTGCAAGGTTGTTGTTTTCATATTCATTTTCTTTAGCACCTGCCACGTAATCTAAGGAAAGGCTTTCAGAAAATGTATTGGATGAATCTATTATGTAGAAACCCAATTGGCCGATTCTCTAGGTGGCACATGGTGTGGGAATTGGAATAAACAGTTAGGATCAATTTTTGTTGTGAGGGAAATTGGGAACAAAAGAACACTAACCAATTAGGTAGATGCAAAAAATGTTTAGAAACAAATTTAGAAGGAACAAATAGATGGCAGTTTGGGAGAATGATCAGTAGGGGTTTTTATAGAGCAAGTTTGGGGATGGGGATAGGGATTAGGTATGAATGTGTTGATTTTGTAGAGATGCAAGGGTTAAGGAATGATTTTGTTATGCGCATTATGATAAAGAAATGGATCTAAGGCTTAGCTTAACGTCAAAAACTAGCTCTTGAGGGGAGGATTGTCCAAGACCATAGAATGAGATCAAATCTCCCATCCACAACTTATGTGGGAGTTCTAACACATTAAAATACACATTATTTTAGCCATGCAAATTTTAATTTGTTCAATTATTGAAACAGATAATATTTGATCTCTTCCTTCAACAACTTCATGCTAATAGTAGTAAATGGCTCTTTATACTGAACATATATTTTTGGATACTTCGGTCATGACTTTCACATTATGTTATTGATTTGCAGGTCCAGATATTTGCACTTCTCGATGAACCCATCTTAGATGCTATCTGTGAGAGATTGAGACTGAAAACATACATAGCAGGAAGCAAAGTTTTATACCGTGGTGGTCTGGTTGACAAGATGGTTTTCATAATTCGGGGTAAGATGGAAAGCATTGGAGAAGATGGAAATGTGGCCTTCTTGTCTGAAGGGGATGCCTGTGGGGAAGAATTCCTCACATGGTGCCTTGAACATTCTTCTATAAACAGAGGTGATTACAGATATTTTAAGATTGTCTTGTGGGTGCATTCATTTTTGGCATATATGCATGATATAATGTTGGCTCTAAATTTATGGTTATTAGATAAGACAATGTTCATTGGAACAGTGTAAGAAGAAAAAACTTGACAAAGCTTTTGAGGCAACTAATTACACTAGCAGCAACAACAACAAACCCAGTTGAGTCCCACAAGTGGGGTCTGAGGAGGTTAGTGTGTACGCAGACCTTACCCCTACCTAGAGAAGGTAGGGAGGTTGTTTCCGATGGACTTTCGGCTCAAAGAAAGAGGAAAAACGAAGCAATAGCAACAAGCAGTAACATGAGCTATCAAGTTATAAGAACATCGAAGCGAAAGAAACACCAACTAGTAACAAAAATCTACGACTAAGAAAATACAAGACTAACACTAATACTTTATGGACAAGGAAAACGCTCGACTATCTAACCTTCTACCCTAATTCTCGTCCTCCAAACCCTCCTATAAAGGGTCATGTCCTCGGTAAGCTGGAGCATCGCCATGTCTTGCCTAGCAAGCGTACTCATCATTTCAAACAATAAAGTGAACGGATAGAGTACTGTTCCATGAGAAACACCAAATTTGCAATTAATCATTGTTGTTTGAGATATCAAATGTGGAAATGTTTTAAGATTAAAAGGGAAAGTAAGTAATGGCTCACAAGCAAGGGAGAACATGGGATTGGGACTTGGAGTCTCAACTAGCTCAAATCCACCCAAGTGTCTTAATTAAACTTTACTAATCAAACCTAGGTCAATGTCATTAGCCTTGGAAATCAATTACCCATTAGTATTTCCCAACATATAATAGATTCTTGATTACCCCCTAGTTGTTTCCCAATAAATTAGCTAGTCTAACTCAGTTAATTATCCCTAACCAAGTTGCATCAAGCACATTCCAATTTTGGCTACAAGCATGAATGGGTTATCCCTAACCTCTATCAATAGACTAGGTTCAATTAATCCCTTAATTAACCTAAAATTCTTGTTGATTACTCCAAACTCAATCCTAATTTCCTTTCCCAAAGGCAAATCAAGGCAATTTAGGGATATCTTGGGGTTAGCTACTCCCTTTGGAATCAATATAAAGCAAGAAAAATCAAATAAACAAAAGACCCACTCATCAATGAGCAAAAAGTCAATAAATACACAAGGTAGAAATTAAGCTAATCAAAACCCAAATCAACAATGCCTCCCAACCTATGTTACGCGGACTCTCCAAACTGCTACCATACCCATGTCGGATCCTCCAAAAATTAACTACTTTTGGAGGATCCGACACACACGCAACGACATTTTCAGAGAGTCCGAGCACCATAGCTCCCAACAAGGTTGTCCAACCCACAAAATTTATACCAAATTTATCAATACAAAATGAGGAAATAAAGAAAGGAGATAAAGGTTGCACCGAAGGGTGTGGCCTAGTGGTCAATGAAGTGGGTTAGAACCATGAGGTCTCAGGTTCAAATCCCATCGGAGGCAAATACATTAGGTGATTTTTTCCCATATGTCTAAGCTTTGCTGGTCAGAGTTACCTGATATCTGTTGCTGGTGGGAGTTGACAGGTATCCCGTGGAATTAGTTAAGGTGCATGCAAGTTGTCCCGGACGCCATGGTTATTAAAAAAAGGAGATAAAAGTAAATAAATCTCTCTAAGTGTAGCTCTAATTCTTCATTCCATGGTGTAGAGAGGTTGAAAGTGCTCCCTCAAGCTTGCTCCTAGCAGATATTCAAAATGACCTAATACTACATATTTATAGTTTAGGGAAACTTTTTAACAAATGTTCCCAAGAATGCCCTTCGGGAGAAAATGCTGATGGCACAAGATGCTGCGGTCCGCATGATGTCTTCGAGTGTTCCGCAGAAATGGCCTGGTGACTCTGGAATTGCGACCACTGGATTCTCATCTTGACCAGTCTTGCCGACTATATTATGTGCTCCACACTTATCAGCTGCAGACTGCAGTCGCCTTGTGCTCAGCTTCTCGTTTTGAGTCCAGTTTCTTCACTTTTGCATCTTTTTAAGTGTTTTTCTATCTTTTCTCCAACTTGTTTCGGACTGAGGCATAGTTGTTGGTGTTGTTGTTTTTTCCATCTTTTGGACGCTTCCACCTTGTCAGCACATTATTTCCTGAAACCATACAAAAGTCATAAGATTTGGCAATAATTATCACTCAAAGACATGACAAGTGCATGTAAAGTCCAGAATAAATTGGTAAAAATCCAACTTATTAGAGTCTTGCAGGACTTCTGGATATTGTCCTTTCTTATGGAACAACTCTTTTTTCTTGTTCTTATTTTGGTCTTATACTAGGACAAATGTGTAGAATATGAAGTCTATACGACATAACTATAATGCAAACGTCCCTGGATTGATGTTTTTCTTGTCTTGTGCTTGATATAAAGCCGATATACTAACTAGAAAATTGCCCC